AAAAAGGATATTTTAAGGAAAAACAAAGCTTGCCTTGTATGTTTGAGAACTGGCACCTTTTAAAAAATTACTAGGATAATATTCAATGCATAATTTGTGAAAAGAAACACTATGACTATATTATGTCCTGAACTGTCTAATGTTAATAAAAAGATTATTTCAGAGGTTCCCTATGTTGATGAAAATGTAACCTTTTCAAACAGAACAAACAGAAGCTCTTTTACAAACTCTGTATCCACTGAAGCAAATAAGAACAGAAGGACTGCAAGAGCTTTATGTGACACAGGATCACAGCAGTCATATATTCTTAAATCTACTATGAACTAAATGAAGGTGACTGAACAATGAAATCAAAATTTAACACATGTTGTGTTTGCTGATATTAGCTCTAGACAGCAACAAAAATGCAATACAGAATCAACTATTCATTTAAAGAAAAATTACTAGTTAAATGCAAGGGCTTGACAAGCAAATTATTTACAGGTACATTAGTAGTATATTCAAGACAAAACTTCGATGGTTGAATTACAAGATAAACGCAGTCCGTCTTACTGAAGTAGGAAAAGAATCGTTATCTATAGAACTTTTGACTGCAGCTGACTGCACTGGGAACGTTTTCCACTTGTCATATCATCCTGTTGCAGTTAGTTTGCACCATTAATACATCTTCATGTACCATTAGTTTCAAATTACTGCACTCAATATCAGATTTATGTCTGATCCTAGATGGACATGGAATTGATATTTTTATGCATTGTACTAGTATGATCTATTAAAAAAATTTTTAAACAATTTTACTTTAAATAGCTTTTACTTTTTTATATTCATTGATTAAAAATTGCTTCAAAAACATTAGATTACATTTTAATACTTTCCACTGTTTAACAAAAAAGGGGGACACTATCTGATTTTATCAATGAATTTAAAAAGTGCTTATTGTAATTATGGTTTAAATTACTGGTTTTAATTATCCAACTAAAATCACTGGCACCCTAATAAAAAAAAAGGTGAACCAATTTATTTGCTTTATCAATGTGAAAAATTGGGAGGTGCAAAATAACTTAATTAAGGAAATCAAGAAAAGACTGGGGGGGATTCCTACCTAGGAGGGAATTTCACAGTTCGGGGGGAATGCAGTCAGTTCGGGTAAAAATCAAATATATACAAAAGTTGAAAATTCTGTCCCGATGGCTAATGATCTAGTATCAGGTACTAAAGTTTATGCAACCAACTTGTGTATTCAGTGGCAAAATACATTATTCTCAAGATTGTTTTAAAGGCCAAAAAATGCTTTTGAGGAAAAAAAGGATATTTTAAGGAAAAACAAAGCTTGCCTTGTATGTTTGAGAACTGGCACCTTTTAAAAAATTACTAGGATAATATTCAATGCATAATTTGTGAAAAGAAACACTATGACTATATTATGTCCTGAACTGTCTAATGTTAATAAAAAGATTATTTCAGAGGTTCCCTATGTTGATGAAAATGTAACCTTTTCAAACAGAACAAACAGAAGCTCTTTTACAAACTCTGTATCCACTGAAGCAAATAAGAACAGAAGGACTGCAAGAGCTTTATGTGACACAGGATCACAGCAGTCATATATTCTTAAATCTACTATGAACTAAATGAAGGTGACTGAACAATGAAATCAAAATTTAACACATGTTGTGTTTGCTGATATTAGCTCTAGACAGCAACAAAAATGCAATACAGAATCAACTATTCATTTAAAGAAAAATTACTAGTTAAATGCAAGGGCTTGACAAGCAAATTATTTACAGGTACATTAGTAGTATTCAAGACAAAACTTCGATGGTTGAATTACAAGATAAACGCAGTCCGTCTTACTGAAGTAGGAAAAGAATCGTTATCTATAGAACTTTTGACTGCACTGGGAACGTTTTCCACTTGTCATATCATCCTGTTGCAGTTAGTTTGCACCATTAATACATCTTCATGTACCATTAGTTCAAATTCATGTACCATTAGTTTCAAATTACTGCACTCAATATCACATTTATGTCTGATCCTAGATGGACATGGAAGTGATATTTTTATGCATTGTACTAGTATGATCTATTAAAAAAATTTTAAACAATTTTACTTTAAATAGCTTTTACTTTTTTATATTCATTGATTAAAAATTGCTTCAAAAACATTAGATTACATTTTAATACTTTCCACTGTTTAACAAAAAAGGGGGACACTATCTGATTTTATCAATGAATTTAAAAAGTGCTTATTGTAATTATGGTTTAAATTACTGGTTTTAATTATCCAACTAAAATCACTGGCACCCTAATAAAAAAAAAGGTGAACCAATTTATTTGCTTTATCAATGTGAAAAAATTGGGAGGTGCAAAATAACTTAATTAAGGAAATCAAGAAAAGACTGGGGGGGATTCCTACCTAGGAGGGAATTTCACAGTTCGGGGGGAATGCAGTCAGTTCGGGTAAAAATCAAATATATACAAAAGTTGAAAATTCTGTCCCGATGGCTAATGATCTAGTATCAGGTACTAAAGTTTATGCAACCAACTTGTGTATTCAGTGGCAAAATACATTATTCTCAAGATTGTTTTAAAGGCCAAAAAAATGCTTTTGAGGAAAAAAAGGATATTTTAAGGAAAAACAAAGCTTGCCTTGTATGTTTGAGAACTGGCACCTTTTAAAAAATTACTAGGATAATATTCAATGCATAATTTGTGAAAAGAAACACTATGACTATATTATGTCCTGAACTGTCTAATGTTAATAAAAAGATTATTTCAGAGGTTCCCTATGTTGATGAAAATGTAACCTTTTCAAACAGAACAAACAGAAGCTCTTTTACAAACTCTGTATCCACTGAAGCAAATAAGAACAGAAGGACTGCAAGAGCTTTATGTGACACAGGATCACAGCAGTCATATATTCTTAAATCTACTATGAACTAAATGAAGGTGACTGAACAATGAAATCAAAATTTAACACATGTTGTGTTTGCTGACATTAGCTCTAGACAGCAACAAAAATGCAATACAGAATCAACTATTCATTTAAAGAAAAATTACTAGTTAAATGCAAGGGCTTGACAAGCAAATTATTTACAGGTACATTAGTAGTATTCAAGACAAAACTTCGATGGTTGAATTACAAGATAAACGCAGTCCGTCTTACTGAAGTAGGAAAAGAATCGTTATCTATAGAACTTTTGACTGCAGCTGACTGCACTGGGAACGTTTTCCACTTGTCATATCATCCTGTTGCAGTTAGTTTGCACCATTAATACATCTTCATGTACCATTAGTTCAAATTCATGTACCATTAGTTTCAAATTACTGCACTCAATATCAGATTTATGTCTGATCCTAGATGGACATGGAAGTGATATTTTTATGCATTGTACTAGTATGATCTATTAAAAAAATTTTAAACAATTTTACTTTAAATAGCTTTTACTTTTTTATATTCATTGATTAAAAATTGCTTCAAAAACATTAGATTACATTTTAATACTTTCCACTGTTTAACAAAAAAGGGGGACACTATCTGATTTTATCAATGAATTTAAAAAGTGCTTATTGTAATTATGGTTTAAATTACTGGTTTTAATTATCCAACTAAAATCACTGGCACCCTAATAAAAAAAAAGGTGAACCAATTTATTTGCTTTATCAATGTGAACAATTGGGAGGTGCAAAATAACTTAATTAAGGAAATCAAGAAAAGACTGGGGGGGATTCCTACCTAGGAGGGAATTTCACAGTTCGGGGGGAATGCAGTCAGTTCGGGTAAAAATCAAATATATACAAAAGTTGAAAATTCTGTCCCGATGGCTAATGATCTAGTATCAGGTACTAAAGTTTATGCAACCAACTTGTGTATTCAGTGGCAAAATACATTATTCTCAAGATTGTTTTAAAGGCCAAAAAATGCTTTTGAGGAAAAAAAAAAGGATATTTTAAGGAAAAACAAAGCTTGCCTTGTATGTTTGAGAACTGGCACCTTTTAAAAATTACTAGGATAATATTCAATGCATAATTTGTGAAAAGAAACACTACGACTATATTATGTCCTGAACTGTCTAATGTTAATAAAAAGATTATTTCAGAGGTTCCCTATGTTGATGAAAATGTAACCTTTTCAAACAGAACAAACAGAAGCTCTTTTACAAACTCTGTATCCACTGAAGCAAATAAGAACAGAAGGACTGCAAGAGCTTTATGTGACACAGGATCACAGCAGTCATATATTCTTAAATCTACTATGAACTAAATGAAGGTGACTGAACAATGAAATCAAAATTTAACACATGTTGTGTTTGCTGATATTAGCTCTAGACAGCAACAAAAATGCAATACAGAATCAACTATTCATTTAAAGAAAAATTACTAGTTAAATGCAAGGGCTTGACAAGCAAATTATTTACAGGTACATTAGTAGTATTCAAGACAAAACTTCGATGGTTGAATTACAAGATAAACGCAATCCGTCTTACTGAAGTAGGAAAAGAATCGTTATCTATAGAACTTTTGACTGCAGCTGACTGCACTGGGAACGTTTTCCACTTGTCATATCATCCTGTTGCAGTTAGTTTGCACCATTAATACATCTTCATGTACCATTAGTTCAAATTCATGTACCATTAGTTTCAAATTACTGCACTCAATATCAGATTTATGTCTGATCCTAGATGGACATGGAAGTGATATTTTTATGCATTGTACTAGTATGATCTATTAAAAAAATTTTAAACAATTTTACTTTAAATAGCTTTTACTTTTTTATATTCATTGATTAAAAATTGCTTCAAAAACATTAGATTACATTTTAATACTTTCCACTGTTTAACAAAAAAGGGGGACACTATCTGATTTTATCAATGAATTTAAAAAGTGCTTATTGTAATTATGGTTTAAATTACTGGTTTTAATTATCCAACTAAAATCACTGGCACCCTAATAAAAAAAAAGGTGAACCAATTTATTTGCTTTATCAATGTGAAAATTGGGAGGTGCAAAATAACTTAATTAAGGAAATCAAGAAAAGACTGGGGGGGATTCCTACCTAGGAGGGAATTTCACAGTTCGGGGGGAATGCAGTCAGTTCGGGTAAAAATCAAATATATACAAAAGTTGAAAATTCTGTCCCGATGGCTAATGATCTAGTATCAGGTACTAAAGTTTATGCAACCAACTTGTGTATTCAGTGGCAAAATACATTATTCTCAAGATTGTTTTAAAGGCCAAAAAATGCTTTTGAGGAAAAAAAAAAGGATATTTTAAGGAAAAACAAAGCTTGCCTTGTATGTTTGAGAACTGGCACCTTTTAAAAAATTACTAGGATAATATTCAATGCATAATTTGTGAAAAGAAACACTATGACTATATTATGTCCTGAACTGTCTAATGTTAATAAAAAGATTATTTCAGAGGTTCCCTATGTTGATGAAAATGTAACCTTTTCAAACAGAACAAACAGAAGCTCTTTTACAAACTCTGTATCCACTGAAGCAAATAAGAACAGAAGGACTGCAAGAGCTTTATGTGACACAGGATCACAGCAGTCATATATTCTTAAATCTACTATGAACTAAATGAAGGTGACTGAACAATGAAATCAAAATTTAACACATGTTGTGTTTGCTGATATTAGCTCTAGACAGCAACAAAAATGCAATACAGAATCAACTATTCATTTAAAGAAAAATTACTAGTTAAATGCAAGGGCTTGACAAGCAAATTATTTACAGGTACATTAGTAGTATTCAAGACAAAACTTCGATGGTTGAATTACAAGATAAACGCAGTCCGTCTTACTGAAGTAGGAAAAGAATCGTTATCTATAGAACTTTTGACTGCAGCTGACTGCACTGGGAACGTTTTCCACTTGTCATATCATCCTGTTGCAGTTAGTTTGCACCATTAATACATCTTCATGTACCATTAGTTCAAATTCATGTACCATTAGTTTCAAATTACTGCACTCAATATCAGATTTATGTCTGATCCTAGATGGACATGGAAGTGATATTTTTATGCATTGTACTAGTATGATCTATTAAAAAAATTTTAAACAATTTTACTTTAAATAGCTTTTACTTTTTTATATTCATTGATTAAAAATTGCTTCAAAAACATTAGATTACATTTTAATACTTTCCACTGTTTAACAAAAAAGGGGGACACTATCTGATTTTATCAATGAATTTAAAAAGTGCTTATTGTAATTATGGTTTAAATTACTGGTTTTAATTATCCAACTAAAATCACTGGCACCCTAATAAAAAAAAAGGTGAACCAATTTATTTGCTTTATCAATGTGAACAATTGGGAGGTGCAAAATAACTTAATTAAGGAAATCAAGAAAAGACTGGGGGGGATTCCTACCTAGGAGGGAATTTCACAGTTCGGGGGGAATGCAGTCAGTTCGGGTAAAAATCAAATATATACAAAAGTTGAAAATTCTGTCCCGATGGCTAATGATCTAGTATCAGGTACTAAAGTTTATGCAACCAACTTGTGTATTCAGTGGCAAAATACATTATTCTCAAGATTGTTTTAAAGGCCAAAAAATGCTTTTGAGGAAAAAAAGGATATTTTAAGGAAAAACAAAGCTTGCCTTGTATGTTTGAGAACTGGCACCTTTTAAAAAATTACTAGGATAATATTCAATGCATAATTTGTGAAAAGAAACACTATGACTATATTATGTCCTGAACTGTCTAATGTTAATAAAAAGATTATTTCAGAGGTTCCCTATGTTGATGAAAATGTAACCTTTTCAAACAGAACAAACAGAAGCTCTTTTACAAACTCTGTATCCACTGAAGCAAATAAGAACAGAAGGACTGCAAGAGCTTTATGTGACACAGGATCACAGCAGTCATATATTCTTAAATCTACTATGAACTAAATGAAGGTGACTGAACAATGAAATCAAAATTTAACACATGTTGTGTTTGCTGATATTAGCTCTAGACAGCAACAAAAATGCAATACAGAATCAACTATTCATTTAAAGAAAAATTACTAGTTAAATGCAAGGGCTTGACAAGCAAATTATTTACAGGTACATTAGTAGTATTCAAGACAAAACTTCGATGGTTGAATTACAAGATAAACGCAATCCGTCTTACTGAAGTAGGAAAAGAATCGTTATCTATAGAACTTTTGACTGCAGCTGACTGCACTGGGAACGTTTTCCACTTGTCATATCATCCTGTTGCAGTTAGTTTGCACCATTAATACATCTTCATGTACCATTAGTTCAAATTCATGTACCATTAGTTTCAAATTACTGCACTCAATATCAGATTTATGTCTGATCCTAGATGGACATGGAAGTGATATTTTTATGCATTGTACTAGTATGATCTATTAAAAAAATTTTAAACAATTTTACTTTAAATAGCTTTTACTTTTTTATATTCATTGATTAAAAATTGCTTCAAAAACATTAGATTACATTTTAATACTTTCCACTGTTTAACAAAAAAGGGGGACACTATCTGATTTTATCAATGAATTTAAAAAGTGCTTATTGTAATTATGGTTTAAATTACTGGTTTTAATTATCCAACTAAAATCACTGGCACCCTAATAAAAAAAAAAGGTGAACCAATTTATTTGCTTTATCAATGTGAAAAATTGGGAGGTGCAAAATAACTTAATTAAGGAAATCAAGAAAAGACTGGGGGGGATTCCTACCTAGGAGGGAATTTCACAGTTCGGGGGGAATGCAGTCAGTTCGGGTAAAAATCAAATATATACAAAAGTTGAAAATTCTGTCCCGATGGCTAATGATCTAGTATCAGGTACTAAAGTTTATGCAACCAACTTGTGTATTCAGTGGCAAAATACATTATTCTCAAGATTGTTTTAAAGGCCAAAAAATGCTTTTGAGGAAAAAAAGGATATTTTAAGGAAAAACAAAGCTTGCCTTGTATGTTTGAGAACTGGCACCTTTTAAAAAATTACTAGGATAATATTCAATGCATAATTTGTGAAAAGAAACACTATGACTATATTATGTCCTGAACTGTCTAATGTTAATAAAAAGATTATTTCAGAGGTTCCCTATGTTGATGAAAATGTAACCTTTTCAAACAGAACAAACAGAAGCTCTTTTACAAACTCTGTATCCACTGAAGCAAATAAGAACAGAAGGACTGCAAGAGCTTTATGTGACACAGGATCACAGCAGTCATATATTCTTAAATCTACTATGAACTAAATGAAGGTGACTGAACAATGAAATCAAAATTTAACACATGTTGTGTTTGCTGATATTAGCTCTAGACAGCAACAAAAATGCAATACAGAATCAACTATTCATTTAAAGAAAAATTACTAGTTAAATGCAAGGGCTTGACAAGCAAATTATTTACAGGTACATTAGTAGTATTCAAGACAAAACTTCGATGGTTGAATTACAAGATAAACGCAGTCCGTCTTACTGAAGTAGGAAAAGAATCGTTATCTATATAGAACTTTTGACTGCAGCTGACTGCACTGGGAACGTTTTCCACTTGTCATATCATCCTGTTGCAGTTCATAAAAACTGTTTTTGCAAAAAGGGATTATCAGCTAAGTTGCAGTTAAGTCGATGATTGGGACAATTACCAGTCAACAGAGACGTTGTTGAAAAGATTACTCTCAACCACAAAAAACTTAGACTAGAAGACTATAATGGGATAATCCAAAACTGATCACTAGCAGAATGGTTGAAGAAGTGCCAAATAAAATATACCACCTCTCACATCAAACAGGTTTAAAAAAACTCCTCGATAAAGGTTAGTCCAGTATTAGATGGATCGTGTAAAACCAAAACACTTTCTTCAATAAAAGACTGTTTTGCAAAAGGGATATATCAGCTAAAGTTGCTCCAAACAATATTGCCAAAATTTAGAAAGAAGAGCATAGGCCTTATTTCAGATACAAGGAAAGCGTTCTTACAAATTTTTGTGAATCAAGATGATAGAGATTCTCTGAAATTTCTCTGATGGAAGGATGCTGAATAATTGGAGATAAAAGAATTTCACCACTGTGTGATATTCAAATTAAACTGCAGTCTTTTCTTCAAATGTGACCGAATCCTATTTGAAGCATTATCAGCCACCTCTCAAAAGTATTACTAAGAAGCTTAGAACTTCCTTTATGTTCACAACTATATGATCTCGACAGATTCTGAAAACGATGCAAGGTTTTCCATTCATTTAACAGGTTGACTGGTTGGCACTGGCTGAATATAAGGCCAACCTCTAATCCATTTAAAAAGGAAATAACATCCCAAAAGAAAGGGCTTAACTTTACAATTAAATTATGATAGTGATATGAATCCATGGATGACAGGTTATTTTTTGACATACACGAAAATTTTATGAAAGGTACCATAGATGCTTAGATTCATTAAGAACACACAAAACAGAAAGGGGGGAAAAAAAAAAAGAAAGAAAGCTTTCAGATTTTACATTATATCCAAAGGAACTTTTTTAACCTTATGTGCATTACCTTTATTTATTAAATGTTCTTTGCACTTAAAACATTAAAATTCAATTGAACAGCAATATCGCAAAATAATTAAAAAATGCGCATATCTTTAGAATTTTCAATATACAGCCTCTTTTTTTTTTTTTTTTTTTTTTTGTGTGTGTGTGTGTGTGTGTGTGTGTGTGTGTGTGTGTGTGTGTGTGTGTGTGTGTGTGTGTGTGTGTGTACAGTTTTGCAAGTGCTCGCTTCTAAACGCTTGAGTTAATCCAAAATTCGTTAAGTGTTACAAAATATGAAATCAATAATAAAACAAATTTCAAGTTCTGAATTAACTGCTTCCAGATGTCCATATTCAGGGGAAAATTAAGTTATTCAAAATTTAATGGTTCTAAATACTGTTGTTTTATCACAATGTGAGAAACATACATACATTTATGCAGATTCTTCATAATTTAATTTCCTTAAATATAACACAGGGCAATAATATTTGAAAGTGAACCGACATTTGCAGTTGTCAATGCAAAATGCCAAAACAAAATTAATAGCCCTTCTGGGCTAACACCGTTTGCCCCCCCCCCAAAAAAAAAACTGGAGAATCAAGGGTACCTTAACTGTTTGCAGCAAAGAAGACTTGTTACGGCAACAAGATGTAGAAACCATTAAGAAATTAAAATCAATACGTGTCTTCATGGACAGGGAGAATATGATAAGAGTGAAAACAAAGCTAACTAAAACACCATGAATTTTATTGAATATATCATTAAAGATGTGCATTTAAAAATGGAACCATGCTGGCTTACATGCTTTGATATCCGAGATTAGAGAAACATTCCAGATTCTTAAAAGTAAGAAGACAATTCAGAGAGTTATATCCCATTAAGCTGTAAGGATGGAATGACCCATTCAGAAAATTTTACCCTTGGAGATATTTGCATCAGCTGAAGAGAATCCAAACAAAGGGAACCTTCCCTTGCCTAATCAATCTCTTCCTTCCCCAAAATGAACTTAAACACCATTGTGACAAGAAGCGGAAAGACTATTAAGTTACCTCTTGGGTTTTTGGATTAAACTTTTAAAGTGAATAATTACTTTGAACTATGACTTTTACTGCAAAGACTATTAAGTTACCTCTTGGGTTTTTGGATTAAACTTTTAATGTGAATAATTACTTTGAACTATGACTTTTACTGCATATTTTGATTACTAACTGTATATTATTAATTTATATGGGCTATGGAACATCAAGTTCAAAACTAGATCTTACTGCTGATTTCCTATGACTTGTTTTCTTTTGTCTAGACAGCCCATATTTTAAAGTTTCTTCTACTAGCATAGAAATTTCCAGCTTGCAAGTGGCTTTTTGAACACTGATAAAAATTTGCTTTGAGCTACCAATATTTTTTTTTTGTTGTTGCTGTTGAATTTAAAAATACAAATTAACTTCTCTGCTAACTCAGGCGACATTTACTAATCACTTGCACTACTTCACAAAATGCAAAGAGGCTTCATACCTGCATGCATATATGTATCCTTTCAAATTTTACTGCAATACATTTAACTCATTTTTAAAAAAAGTACTGGATCTGCACACATTTGCAATAACCTTTTATTTAATCTACTAAATAAAAGGTGGTGTGTTGATGTATTTAATTATGGCAAAGCACACTAGGGCTATCTGCCTAAAGGGAGGGATGCCTTTGTGGAGGACTTTCTAAGGGAAACTGGCTTGTATACATGTTACACATGGGGAAAACCACGAAAACACACATGCAGCCAGCCCGTTCGCGGGATTCGAACCTCAGATAGAACTACCAGTGTTCAGCGACTTTACCGCTCAGCCGCTGGTGGGCCCACTAATTAAAAGGACATAGGAAATGAAAGGAATTACCTTAAAAGGGTAAATTAAGAAAATTGCCATAAAAAATATTTCTAAAACTTTTTCAAATAATTTTCACACCATCAACAGTAGCAGTTTTCTAATTTGGGGAAAGAAAAAAAAAAAAAAAAAAAAAGCTTTTCTAGAATTAAAGCCCTAATATATACTAACCTGCAACTTCTGAAAATGTACTTTCCATCCGACTTTTGAGGTAAAACGTATTTCAAGTCAGTAATAAGACAACCAGTTTCAGAATTCCATACTTTGCCACAGCCATCTCTTGACACAGTTACAATCTGAAAATTTAAAATACCACTTAAAATAAAAAATACTGAATGACATTTAAAAACTGTTACAAATCAGCACATTTGAGTTTCAAAAGCCTGGCAAAAAGAGCCAATTAATATTTCAGTGCATATATTATTAGGCCAGAAAGACAAAAATTACACTAACTTATACTACATTTTAACATTGAAGGGCTGATACAAAACGGGAAAGTACCACAGCAGTTTGTAAGATAAAAAGCGGAATTACATCAAGGATTATTTTACTTGCATATTAAGCACTTTACTGGATGTTGCCAGAAAAATATTAAATTTAAAATTATTTATCAGCTAGGCGACTCCTTATTTTACTTTGCAGGTTGTTTTCGGGAACATAATGCATTCTCCTACTGTACTCTTTAAGGGAAATTTCATATTGCTATTATTAAAAATTGCTAATTTGTTCCTAAAAAGTCCCCCCCCCATCCTGAACGAAAGATAAAACAATAGTAATAAAGGTAAGCTTTATTTACAGATGATGCTCATTAACTGCAAGATACATTACTGAAAAAGGGCATTATAAGAAGCATTGCTGCAATGAAAATGGATTTAATAAGCCTACATCAGTTAAAAGACCTTTTACTTTTTTGCTATGGTTATTGCTACATGGCCTGTTATAATTATCACATTGGCCAGTGCATACGATGCACCCTTTTTTTTATACACGTTTTTGAAGGATAAAACATTTTTTACTGATCATTACAGTGTTTTAAATACAAAGTAATACTTTTTGCAAATGCTCAATCTATGTGAGAAAGAAACACCTTTTAATCTCTTTCGTCAAAACCCAGACACTCGTCTTCAGAGCTAAATGAAGAGTCACTTGAAACCTTTTCTAAATCAGCATCTGAGCTCTCATACAACAAATTGTCCTCTGTACCATCCAGTGCATTACTAATGCCACACTTCTTATATGATTTAACCACTGTCTCTGTTTTCAGAGAATCTCATGAAACTTTGACCCATTCACAAATGATGTATCGATGTATAAAACGGAGTATTGGCATGTAAAATGCACCCTGTTTTTCAGACCTATTTTCAAAGAAAAAAAGTGAATCTTATATGCTGGTAAATATGGTAATTTTCATTTAATCATTGCCCTGTGTTGGGAACAGAATTAGCATAGTTGTCACCATGGAATTCCACCACTGGAACATAGCTGACCCATAACTGTTTTAATAATTACTTTTAACTGAACTATGTCATCAGATTATTAGATGCTTCTGTGTGGATACCTTTAACTGTATATTTACAGGTTGCGTTTTGTATAAAGTACTAGTAGTTGAATCTAGTACAGTTACAGTACTTCACATTTGAAATACGATGCCATTTGATTAGTGGCCATAAAACAGAAGAGAAAAATTCCTATAGCGAGCATCAGCAGAACTGCCTTCAATAAACTTTTTTACTGAAATGTGTAGATTAAGATTTGAATATAATAATGATTACTCAATTAAAAATAACTATTTAGCATCACTGGATTGGAATTCGTTTAATGAATGTGAAAATAAAAGAAATTATTCATAAGAAAACTTTATTAATAGCACACAAGTATCACAAAACATTTTTCAGTATGAATTTTCAACATTTGAAAAGAATAGTACTACTTAATTAAAGAAAAGATAATCAGTTATTAGAGTTGAATCTACTTAAACATATACACAAATTCTGAAAAACAGAAAGACGTATAATTGAGTTATTCAGATGTGATGTGCATTATAAAATGACTTCATAAACACAGTGGTTTGAAAATACACAGCTCTAGTAACAAATACATAACACTAAACATCAAACTTGAATGCCAGAACTAAACATTTCATATGACAGAAAAGTAAAATCTACCATTAAAATAAAAATTCTACATTCAAATCTCTTATAACTTCAAGCAAATTCCAGAAGATAAAGCATAGCAGATTACCTTCCTAAGGGGAAGGATACCTTCATGGAGGTATTCCTAAAGGAAACATTAATTATGCAGGAGGATAACTACAAAAATGCAGAGCCAACTTATTTATCAGAATCTATATCAAACTACCTGTGTTTTAACGGTCTAATCCAGCAGTTCCAAAACTTTTACTCAGACTTTTTTTAGAAAGAATTCATCTACCAGATCCCCATAGATATTTTCTACATCTTATGAGTTAATAATGTCTGAGTATAGTATTACAGGGGTAAGGTAAAAAGGTAGAGAATATCAAGTAAGAGGACAGTTGTGCAATGGTCAAGGAATTAAATTTTAAAATGTATAATAGTACCTCAATTTATTCTCAATATAATACTGTCAAAAGTTAGTCATACATAAAAGATTTCCTAAAGTTCAGTAAATGAAACCAATTTGTGTTACAGCAGATATTTTACCTTATTACATTACTGCGGAGGGCATCCTTAGGGTCATTAAAATAAATTTGGTTCTTGCAAGTTAATCATTATAGGCATTTGAATTAAAACACATATTCATTCATTATTTATCTGAAATTTTTATTATTCTTTATAAAAGACAAAATTTGGTTTTATGAAAATGCAGCTGCATGCCAAAATTGAAGCATAATTTGAAGAATGTAAAAAACATTTAATGAGATGCATTTTTGTTCAGTTTTCTAATTTTAGGTTCAATTTGATAATTGCAGATAAATGCCTTGTTTTGCATTGACGTGGATTCTGTATATCATTTCGATACATGTATAGAAAATTTTGATTTACAGGAATGTGAAATTGTGAATGATAACAGAATTAATTTGCTTTCTCAGAGAACATTTTGAAATTATCTCATATGCAGCCCTATACCCAGTTTTTTATATGCAATGTTTTGTTAACTGTGAGATTTCAAATCTGTTAAGACCCCATAATCTGTCAAATTTAATCTGGATTATTATTATTTTTTTTTAAATATTAAACACATACAGTATCCATTAAAAGTCATTCAAGCACCTTTTCTAAGCCATGGGAAAGAAAAAGCTTAAACGAGTCTTTCAAAGCTTTGAAATGCACCTGAATATATTTTTGATTCTTAACCAGGGTTCATAGGCACATTTTAGTTAAAAAAAATAAGCACCTATAAGCACATTTTAAGGAAAAAAATAAGCACCTGTCTAATTACATTATATTAGACTTGTAATTTAAAATATGAGAAATGCAGTATTTATGCAGATAGAATAAGCATTACCTCAACCATGGAAAATTACTCTTTTTTTGTTTTTAATTTTAAATAACAGTTCAATTTACAGAACTAGTTTTCAATTCGAGGGGGGAAAAAAAAAGAAACTATGCAGAACTAAACTATATTACAAGATTTAATGATGAAATTTCAGTTCAAAATAGAGAAAATAAATAATAAGGCACATTTATTGTGTTTGCTTGGAACCTAATAATAAATACAATTTATTTTTCCACTCATATTGATATTTAAATAATTTAAATCTAAATTCTGAACATTTTCTAAATTTTCATTGTATAACAGTTTTCCCTTAACAGATATTGCAAGCAAAGTAATTTAAGTAAAAAAGAGGAACATTTCTGAAATCAGAAGACATAAATTTGCTTCATGCAGTCATCCTTTAACAGTAAAAGCTTAACTAACCCGCATACTTGGAAATTGGCGAATATTCGAACAGTCGAGCGTAACTTGAAAAAGAGGAGCGAAGGGGGGTAGACCGTAGCCGTTCTTTAGATTTTTCCGCTTAACAAATGCTTTTGACATTTCTATATGTGCATCAGATAAAAATAAACAAACGGAACTGAAAAATATTCTGCTTAGCAAGCACAGTAAAACTCTTAAGTGTTCATAAACAAATCTTGGACTGAACAACAAAATTAATTATCTCTGCAAAATATAGGAAACGTTATTGTGCAATACATGCGCTGTAATTATTCCCTACGTGATATTACGCAGTCACGTGATATCAACAGCTGCTGGTATTGGGAGAATAAAGAATTAAATAAAAGAAAAGAAAGAGACTTACCAATCTGGAGTGTTTTTCATTCTAATTTTCAACAGACTGCGTTAAATTTCCGGAACAGAATCATTCTTCGCTTGGGTTGGTAGAACGCAGAACTTTTAGTCCTATTCAATCCAGATTGGAAAGTGACCAAAAAAAGAAAGAAGGAAAGAAAGGTCCGTTGCTTGTTTTGCAGCGAACTGTAACAGTTTCAATATTCAAGATTTTGCGGAGAACCTCCCAACCTTCGTACTGTATAATGTATTGGCCAAAAAAAGGAAATTATTTTGACTATTCGATTACTTTCCCTTTATTTAAGCCATTCCGAATATTATTCCTTAGAAAGCTAATCTGTGTTAAAACACAACCATTTTTGGAAGATTACTAGCAGTTACTGCAACTGTGTTATTATAAACATTCATACACATGCTCATATTATAAGCATAACGATCATAAACACGAATATGAACTGACCAAGTGGAACGAGAATGCAAATTATTAAGATCTTGATAGAAATTCAAACATGTGTAGTATTTGGGTGGGAGGAAAAGAATGCCGAATGTACCGGAATTTTCTACTGCTTTCGCAATTCTTTGACCAATAGAACAACGGGCACCTACCTGTCTGTACTCTCCGTGCACACCAAAGGTTATGTTAATGCAGAGAAAAGGGGAAAAGCTATTTCTGGGAGTATTATTCACCATCTGACATTCCATATTAGGAAGAAAAGATGTTTATTTAGTTTTGGCTTTGGTACGGGGGAAAATGGAGAGTTCATTAAAAAAAAAAAGGCACTAAAAACAAAAAAATAAGGGCTTTAAAAAAAAAGTAAGCACCTATAAGGGCCTTTATATTTTATTTTCAAATATAAGGTTTTATAAACACTGATAAGGACCACTACGAACCCTGTTAACGTTTGTTTCTTTCAAGACAGTTTAATTTGTAGCAAGGACTCACGGTGGCTTTCCATATTCTTCACATATTAGTACAGATCTGCTTTTAAGAGTGATGTTATACATTTTTTAAGTTTTATTATCA